TGATACCTTATGCTAATTGTGGGTGGAACACCTAGCTACTTTATGCTAATACCTGTGCACTAGAGGATTGTGGGAGGAACACTTAGCCTCTGATGGGAGTCCTGCAGGGCACCCCAAAACGAGGAGTTCTCTTGGCCTCTGGTAGGACTGGGGCTGTGCAGCCCTGTACTGAGTGGGAGGTGCAGCCAGGGGGTCACCATGAATTGGGGGGTTGGGAGACAGAAGGGGGTAGGAGGTGACAGAGCCATTCTAACTTGTACCTTGCAAGGGAAATACCATGTCATAAAAGTAGATTTCTTAGGTGGAAGCTCATACATTGTACTTTGGGTGTGTTACTGATCCCTATGATTTCCTTAAATCTGGTGAATTCATCTGTATAACTTATGTTAATAAATGATTACATTTATAATTTCTGCTTTATTTATAATCTCTTTTTGGTTTCTTGCTATTTTGACTATTCTTGTATTATTTAAACTTGCAACCACAGCCTCTTAGGTAATGCTTTGCAAGATGATTTTCTTCCTAATTAAAACACATTTATTATATAAGATCTACTTTTTTCTATCCTAAAAAAGTTGGGGAGAAAGTTTATGTTGGTGTTTTTCTAGGAGACAGACTGTGGAAAGCCAGCAGCATACACTTTCGTCCCCTTTTTTGTGTTCCAATGTGTGGGGAACTGTGTTGGAGGCTCTGTCTTGGAGGCTGGGGTGGGAAAACTTGTGAGAACTTGTGAGGCTTGTCTAGCAAAAATTGTCCATAGGAACAATTGTTTTGGGAAGCATAACATTGCTCAAAAAAAGTCACTGTCTAGCAAATTCTTTCATCATTCATCATTTTGCGAGGCAATTGTCTTGTGAGGCACCACTGTACAATAAAACCCAAGTTCATGATACTCCTAACACTGCTGTTTGAGGCTGCTGACTCACTTTGCCTAAGGGCAGGCACAGGCCCGTGGATGACAAAGTAGTACTGTATATACTTCGCCTGCTCTGCTTTAAGTGCATTCGAGGTTGCTATTTGGTTGCAAATATGAGAGTGGTCTTATAGACCAGATGGGTGGGGTACAAATCAAATAAATAAAATAAATAACTCAACCAACAAAATATTTTGCAGCATTCCAGTTGTTTGGCAAGACCATCTCCCAGTCACATCATGTGGATATCTCATACAAAACAGCCTCATCTTTAGCTCTGGGAGGCATGGCTCTGGCCCCGTGGTCCAGTGAGGTTCGTTTGTTTGCACTGTGGACTAGAGGTTTCTGTGTTGTATAACAAAAATAAAGACAAGAAGACAGTTGTGACACCTTAAAGACTAACACATATATTTCAGTGTGAGCTTTCATAGATTATAGTCTACTTCCCTGGATACAATAGAGTGTGCCCAATATGTGGGAAGATCTCTCCATTGCTCTTAGGGGCACTCTCAGTATTTTGGCCTTCCATTAAACATCAGTTGATTTGCCTGGGAATTTTTCTTAGTGCTAAGGTTGAGTTACCCTGTGTTTTTTAAAGAACCTGTTTTTAATTGATTATTTTATTTCTTTTATGGTTTTATCTTTGATATTAGTCATAATAACTGGTTTTATTGTACCTGGTTTTATTATAACAGCTTTGAGATTTTAAGAAGAGAAAGGCAGTATTAAAATATTATGAAATAAATTTAAGAAATGAAAAGGATTTTCTGCATGGTGCTTCACCCACCAACTTTTGTCAGTTGAATCTAGAATTTAATGTTATGCTTTGTGGCAAGAGAACGATGTCAACCCTCTGGCCGTCTGTATGTGGTTGTACCCACTGCACGTTTGTTATGTCAAGGCTCTCCACCTCTGTCCCTGTAGATGTTCAGATCTTCTTGTCCACAATGAGCTTCCCACCACCAGTGTTATCATGTGTTTTGTTGATGAAGTGTGGTCTACCCTCCTGCGCTCTGTCCATAGTGTTCTCAACCGTTCTCCTCCTCAGTTTATTAAAGAAATCATTTTGGTGGATGACTTCAGCACGAAAGGTAAGTCAATATTTTCCCCTTACAACTGGTACTACAGCTAGGATATATTCTGTTTTTCAAGCAATCTGTTATTTAGAAAAGAATTGCCAGTATTTGGGTACAAATGGTGCTGCGTTATTCTGGTCTGTTGACATTGCTTTCATTTCATTCAAATCTCAGACTCATTGACTCTCTATATGGCTCCCCACCTCCATCCCCCGTACAGGGATGTGTAGGAGAAATGGATAGTTTTTATTTCGCTTAAATGTACACAGATCAAAAATTTATTGGTTTCATGGAGGGGGAGAGACAGTTTCAACAGTGTGGCAGGTGCAGAGGGCACATCTTAAGGTTGATGGACAAAGAACTCCATACATTTCCAGGGGCAGGAGACTCACCTGTATGATGTAACGCAATAGGGCCTTCCTTTAAATTATTTTGATTAAACAGAAAGGAAAAGCAATTTTTATGTCTTGAAGTAGCTTTAGAACTACAATTGGTGTGAGCAGCCATCTTTTCTATAAATATGCTGTTTTGCACTCTGGCTACGAATGCCATTTGAGAGAGTTTCTAGATTGCAAAACTGTTGTTATTTTATTTTATATTAAATATTTTTACCCCACCTTTCTCCTTAAAAAGGACCCAGAACAGTTTACGTAATTAAAAACACAATTTTAAAAGCTACAAATAGTAAATTATTCAATCAAAGAAGAATTAGTAATATTATATTAATAATGGTAGGTAAAAGCGTTGCTAAAAGCAAAAGCAAAGCATGTGGCTTATATACTGCCTCATAGTGCTTAAAGCACTCTCTGGGTGGTTTACAAGTAAATGACAAGTACACATACTGTACACTAAAAATAGATTTAGAAGCAACAAAATGTAAACCATCCTGTCTCCTAGACAGTCAGTTAGGGAGCATAATTAAAAGAAAGAAAACATGTCAATTGCTGTAAGTGAAAAGTTGTGTATTTTAAAATATCTGTCACCTTGGCATGCTTTTGATACAAGAGGTGATATGCTTCTCTCTGTTGTTTCTTTATGAGGTACCCGCCTACTCATTCACAAGTTGATAGTGGTATTAATCCTTCACTAGAGTCAGCTCAACAATAGCTAATAGTTAACCAACAACAGATGGCTTTGTAACAAGGGTAATGTGTAGTGCTGAAAATAATCCATATTGTCTGCCCCATCGTAGCCACCAGGAGAAGGCAACGTGTTGCTATTTTCCAGTACCCAACAGCATGCAGTGACTGAGGACAGGTGCTTTCCTTTCTCCCTCTGTGATGTTTTGAGTAGACAGAATCTGTGATGCATTCATTTGCTTTTTCTCTGTTCTGATTTAGCATATCTCAAGGACAAATTGGACAAGTACATGGCACAGTTTCCCAAAGTCCATATCCTTCACCTCAAAGAAAGACATGGCTTAATACGAGCAAGATTGGCTGGAGCAGCAATTGCCAGAGGTAAGCAGAATTATCCAGCTGGAAGTCATTGCCTTATAACAAGGCAATAAAATCTGACAGATGTGAAAGAGACCAAATAATACAGATCAGCAGGTGAATTCTTTGACAGGTATTGCTGAAAGAATCCTGGAAAGAAGTGACATTGTCAAAAATACTCACAGTCAACTTAGCAGTAGTTAATGCATCCAAGCACCCTTGTTTCTTTCTCTCTTCCCCAGCCAACTTCTCCCTTCTTTTTTAAAAATAATGCATCTACATTTGTTGACTATATTGGACCTTTATATGATGCTTTTGCAAGGCTTTGGCTGAAAGGGAGTTGCAGTGAGCATCAGTTAATGCAGTAGTGACCAGTTGTTTCCCTCCCTACCTCAGATTTTTCCCCCATCTTTTTTTTTCCAGTCAGGGCTCAGTTAGTGGTCTGTCAGTGTGTGAGTTATGGAGTCAGGAGTGAACAGTTAGAGTGAAGTGTAATGTAATCAGTTGATTAGTTAATAATGATGTAAATCAAGCAGGGAAGCTTAGTAGTGTAACAGGTTAACATTTCCACCAAATATAATTTCTGTTTTCATAGAAGAAAAACTGTATGTACATGGAAACATTTTATTCTTTCTAATTTACCAGAATCTCTGAGTGAATGTATAGAAGCAAATAAGTGCCAGCTGAGGTAAACTAACAAATAAGGGGCAGCCTGCTAAGAGAGATTGTAGTTCAATCTGTTCTGTAGGTTCCTGTTACTTCGTTGTTTACATTATTGTACTGATATTATTGGGGGACCTTTCCAATGATCTCTTGAAGTATCTTAAAGCCCTATCCACTAATAATACAAATACATCTACTAATTTAGTAAGTATACCTACTTACTTGCCAGAACTCTTAATGACCTGGTTTGGGGTGCAGCTTTGTCTATTTTGTATCACTTGGGTGGAATTCACATTCAACATTATTCTTTCAAAAAGTCTTTTATCATTTTTAATGTCGAACAAAGTTCTGCACAAACACAACAGAATATTTTTAAGAAGTCTTCTCTTAGTCCAGATAGTGGACACCCAGTTGCTGGTCACACAGAGCTAAGCAAACACCTCCAATGATACTCCAATTCACCAATGAGAATTCATGCATCAGTAGATGCATGTCTTGGTTACTCTTATCAGTTGATTAGCTTTTTATTATGTCTGTTACAGTGTTTGAATGTCTATATTAATAGGAGGAAAAATGTTGCCACAGTGTTTTCCAAGTCAACTAATGAATACTGTCATGGGCATGATTGATGAATTGAAGTAACTGACATAATCCAGCTACTGTAGAGAGTTTTATGATTGCATGAATTTCGTACTAATTATGAATTGGTGTTGATATGGAGAAAATGAATGTTTAAAACAACCCTGAAAGTTGATACAGATCTAAGTCTAATTGTAAATTCCAGATAGAGGAAATACATAGAATCCACAGAAATTACATAAATACTGATTTACTGAAGTCTCATTCATTTGATCGACCTACTATATGGAGACTAATGATTGGATTTAGCACTTCCATTTTCAGTGAGTGCTTTTTTTAAGTGTTGGAAATAAAGATGTAAATCCTAATTTGTTCTTTTCTCTTATGTGAGAATGACAAGCTGCCTTTGCAAGAACAGTTTTTTGTGCAGGTTGCATAAACTGTACAAGCAGTGTAAGTTGTTCCAGCCATAAATTGTACAAGCTGCATAGCTAAATGACAGTAGCTACTGCCTTGTTGTCTGGACTTTTAAAGTTTAGAAACATTAGATGTGTTGTTTGTATCTTATTGATCAACCAGCTCGTCCTTCTGTATGTCCTTGCTGTTTGTGTGTGATTGCTTTGCTTCCCAAATGGAAAACTCATTAGGTTTATGCATAAACGTTTATAGAACCTATGGGAACTTCAAAGGGGTGGGGGGAGTTCAGTGACTGAAATTATATTGGACTTTTGTACTATCATATTGCAATCAACATAAAACTTGGTAGCAAATTTCCACATACTAAGAAGCTAGCGTAAGCATTTGCTGTTGCACATCAAATCATACAAATACCAGCACTAGCAGTTTAACTTGCAGTGGTTCACTGACATTTACACTATGTTTTGTCACTTGCAGTGGTTCACTGACATTTACACTAATTATGTTTTGTTAGCAGGTATAAACTAGTAGGATTTTCACCATCATCTCATTCACACCATGGAGCTGAAAAATCTCACATGGGTTAATTAAGTCTCATTTTTTTCAGATTTGTTCTGTCTCTCCTGTTCTGATGGAAGTAATCCATTTTCTGTTTTCTTCATTAGGTGATGTGCTGACTTTCCTAGATTCTCATGTGGAATGCAATGTAGGATGGCTGGAGCCATTGCTGGAGAGAATCCATTTAAACAGAAAGAAAGTGGCTTGCCCTGTTATTGAAGTAAAGTCTCACAAAGACATGAGGTGATTTCAGTCCCTTCTATATTTGATCTGATCCGTCTATGGTTATCCATGGAAAGAGAGTTGTTTATAACATGTGCAAGAGGCATGGGGCTGCACATGCCGATTGTGCCTCTCAGTGATCCTGCACACACTCACCTCATTCCTCCTGTTTTGGAAGAAAGA